AATTTCAATATTGATCTGTACTGGATCCAGCGAGCTGCTTTACAAGCTAAAATTTGAAAAATACTTGAGACTCTGAAACGGGTTTGCTCCTACACTTAATCTTAATTATCCATATTTTTTTTCGTAATAAAAAATTTATTTGTGCTTTATGATGATATTATGTAATGAATACATCTATTAAAAGGATTTGGTTTATTTACGTGACTTGGAAACTTTTCCCGCGTTCTTTACGAAACGTTTGTAAAATACATATTTATTAATGATAAGAAACTAGGATATTTGTGAAATAATAAATTCTTACGCCTCATATCTAGCAGGTTAGAATATTTGAGCTGTTCCTTCTCAAAAAGCTTGCTCTTCTTTTTTGTGTCCGCTCGACTTGCCATCCAAAAAAAAATTTATTTTAAAGACTCGCTCATCAAGACTGACCGCTTAGTGTACATTTTTACCTTACTGTACCTTTTTACACCGTTCCTCTTTTTTTTGTAAAAAGTAAAACTATATCAACATTCTTTCACGGTACAGAGAACTTTTCAAAAAAATGGAACTATGATTTTCATTCTGAGTCACGTGACATTTCACTTCCTTGATTAATAATCAGGTGTGAAGTTTCTTATAAAAACATCGCTGATGACCTTGAATTTACATCATTTAGAGCAAAAATGAAACATGTGATCACAGCCACCTAAATTATCTTTTAGTGGAAAACAATTATATATTTAGACAATTTTTTTTTGATTTTTATCTTTAAATACGAAAAAAAATGGGTGAAATCGCAAATACGTTTATCTGGGAAATTGGAAGTTTTCAAAGATTATGTTAGTAAAATATCTCATGGAGATACCTTTTCTAGTCCAAAATTTTGGATCCCACAAAATTGTCATGATGATAATATCAAGCCTACTTTATGGCAATTACATTTATATCCGAATGGTGATTTAGGAGCTAGAAATTATATTTCAATTTCTCTTGAAGCTATTAAGACACCATTTGAACGTTCAAATAATATAAACGAGAGAGAACAAAGACACAAGCTTGGAATTGGGAAAACTTTTGTCAATCGAGCATCCAGGTCAAAAACTCTTATCAAAAAAGTTACATATATCAAACATAATTACAATTTCAATAACCCACCTGCAACTTGGAGTCTTGACCAATTTATTTCACTGAACGAAATTTTACCTGATAGTAATAGATCCAGATCAACTGATATCTTTATTCAAATTAAGTTTATTGACTCTGATGAAAGTATTGAAAGGAATGAGATTTTATACGAAAAAACCGAGAAAGCTTTTGAAGATGATGATTTGGCGGATATCGAATTTAATTTTGGTTGCGATAAACCCGTTAAGGCACATCGTGTGATTTTAGCGATTGAATCCAAATATTTTAAAGAAAAATTTCAAGGAGAGTGGAAAGGGAAGAAAGTTGTAAGAATTGAAAATACTAATTGTATGGCATTTCGTGCTGTTATCTATTTTATATATACAGGAAAAATGATGTATGAGGGATGTAATGGATGTTGTC